GGCCACCTTCCAAAAATATCCGACATACATTGCCGCCAAAATTTGAATTCACTGACTTCGATTGGACCTTCCCTCCGTATTCATCCTCGACGACAGCAGTAGTCATTTCATTCCTAAATAATTCGAATGCCCATCAATTCCAACGCTATCCTCAACCGCCTTCAGGACCAAGTCGTACGTGACCAAACGTACCTCGAGTCGTGCTTCGACGACTTCGGAGAGACAGCCCTACAGCGCAACCTGAGCGACGAAGCACCAGCGAACCCTATAATGGACAAGTTTGTTTCAGACCTTGGGTCTGAAGGAATTCGGACGATGACCAACTTCACCGTGTCAGAATTTGAGGCGCTCTGGGCCATGGTTGACCATGCACTGACGTCAGCCTGGCTGGAAGGCCGTGGACGCCGCTCACCGACAAGTCCTAAGGACGCCTTCTTTATGACACTGATTGTTCTCAAATACTTCTGTACCTGGGATAAGCATGCGGCAGACTTCGGCTACAAGGCTCCAACGTTTGAGAAGTTGATCATGCGCGTCATCCACGTACCATTGCTGTGACACATGCTCGAACTAATGACTCACCACCTTGCGCCTTGTAGGTGGTCGAGCCTTTCTTGTACAATCGTTTCGTCGTGGTCCCTACAATGGACACTCTTGTCTCGTCAGAACATCAGTTTGCAAACACTATCCTTACGCGTTGTATGCCGTCGACGTCAAGTTCCAGCCTGCTCTGAGACCCACTGGACGATTCCAGGAACAGAAGCACTACTAAAGTGGAAAGCACGGATTGTATGGCTACAAGATTGAAGCTGCTGTGCCCCCGGAAGGACGCTGTGTAGCCACATCCGAAGCCCACGCTGGTTCCGTGCACGAGCTGACGATTATGTTGTCAAGAACTGCAAAGCCAACTTGAAAAAGACGCCGGACGACATGATCTTACCTGACCATGGTGAGCTTGCTGCCGAGTATCGATCGTCGTGGGCATGTCTTGTTGACATGGGGTACATTGGTGTCGCGCATGCGCTCCGTGGCGTTCATCCCAAACGGCGCCCCGCGAATGGCTTCTTGGACGCTGCCGATCTTGAGCGCAATCGCCGTGTGTCGTCGGACCGTGTAGTGGTCGAAAACTACTTTGGACGTGTTTGTATGCTTTGGAAAATCTACTATTCGACGTACACATGGGGTGAGAAGAACTACAACGTCATCCAGCGAGCTTCCTTTGCGTTGTCTAACTACCATTTGACGCTCATGCCTCTCCGAGCTGAAGTTGAGCGGTTCTACGCGTTGGTGTTGGTGCGTTACGAGAGGATGAGTCAAGATAGACGTCGTAGACGTGCCGATTCACAACGACGTTATCGTTTGAACCGCCAAGAGCGCTTCTCGATTGATGCTACCTGTGCTGCGCGGTTTGTGTCACCTACAATCAATCGACGTATTAGTGGTTAGCGCCTCACATAAATTCATGAATCATGGTGTTGAACTTGTACTTTACTTCCAAAGTTGTTTTGTGTTGTAGGTGGTAAATCGTCAGAGAATGCAGTTTTGCTCAATAGCTCGGTCACTTCCAAATTTTACCCAAAATTATGAAACGAGAAATGACAAGTTTTCTGCAAAGTCAATTCTTGAACTGACGTCAACTCATCACATACAGAGGAATATTAGCAGCATCTTTGATGTTTTGTATTTTGATCAGTGAAAATGTATAACAGTAACCTACTGAAATAAAGATCTACTGGTTCGCCACGTTATTTGCGCTTTTATTCGTGGCATCCCCAGCGTCAACCTTCAGACGTCGGTTTCAGTGTAACTGCCCGTTGCGACAGTTGGAGAATGGTTGTGTCGGCAGAAGTCCAGTCGGAGCAGGCCCAGCTACATGCATTGCAAAAGCTCGACGAGCAATGCGTGCAGTACCAACTTCAGGTCGGAATATCTATCATGCATCACATTTACCGCCGACACATTCTTAGGGCAATTACGTGGCAGCGCTCGAAAGCATGGAGCGGGCGTTGGTCCTTCGCCGTCACTTCTTTGGGCTGGATGCAGCTGAGGTATGCGCAATTCAACAGCGATACTTTACTACTTTGTCCAAAGGTGCGCGAGTCTTGCAAAGCAATTGCGGAAATGTGCAACCTCCTCTCCATGACGTACCTCCAGCAAGGTGAACGACTCATTATGTCGTGCTCACCTGCATTCGTCCTGTAGAAAACTACACCATCACATGGGAGCTGCTGAAAAAAGCAGAGATTCTTACAGAGCATCATCCACAAGAGCGCGCCACAACACTCAACAACATGGCGTGCTACTTCCGCCGGTTTACTTCTGACGTGACTTCGCACAGATCACACGTGGTGTCAATAGAATTGGAAAGCTTCACGGCGCCCTGTCCTGTCTGAAACGGGCACTTGCGATTGAGTTGCAGTTGAACAAGCTCCAGACAACAGCAGACACCCACTTAAACCTGTGTGCCGTGCTCTCCACCATGGGAAAGCACTCGGAAGCAGTTGAGCATGCCCAGTCCGCCCTCATTTTGCTTCAAGATGAGCTATTTTCATCAGGTAAGTAAATCATGCGGAGATCACACAGAATCCATGTCTTGGCGGTATCTAGGAAGCGACCGTAAGCCGCTCGACACAAACAAAGATCGTGTGTCAGTTCTTTGTATTGCGTACCACAACCTGGGGGTGGAGTACGAATACTTGAAGCAATACAATCAGTGTGTTGCGTCGTATCAAAAGGTAGTGGTGTGTGTATCGAACTCGATTCGTCATTTGCCACGATAGGGGGTGGGGATCGCTGAGCAATATCTGGGCAACAGCCACGGCGTAACAATTACTCTGACTAATTCTTACGTTGCAGGTATGTCGGAAGAATCATCATCCAACTCATGCGCTCATTTTCCGTGGCAGCTCGGCGGACTGTGCACACAAAAGCAAAAAAGGAAGTGCTTGAGATGCAAAAGAGTCCCAAAAAAGGCTCAAGTCAGACTCGTCCAAAGCATTTGGAGGTTTATGCATGAAGGAATCTCCGTCAACACTTACCTGCGTTGTAGGAGATGTCCCCAACGAAATTCAAACATCCGAGCAACCTCGTCACGAGTCCGAGGAGCCACGCTCGAAACGAGCTACCGCCATTGGATATTCCCAAATCCCCGTCGCGATCAGGGTCGCCGAGGACGCCAACGAGACCCGTGCCAATTGACGAGGCACCACTCATTCGGCACCAATCGCTCGAGCCCCTGCGCTTGACGCCAGGAACACAGGCCAACATAAATGCCGACCTTCAGAACGATGCTTCTTTGGCCACACCGGATGTGTCTATCCCCCTGCTTCATGTACAATTGGCTGAGGCGAACGTTGAAAAGGTCCCTTCGTACCGACCTACAGGACGTTTGCCTTCCGATGAACCACCATTCGATCCAAAAGTGCCGATTGAATCAACTAGCATGTCGACCACTCCGACAACGTTGACTTTTGCGAATGACGGGGAAGCATCAACAAAAGACAGTGCTGCTATGGCCAACACTACGAGAGCTTCTCAACGTGAGAATGCGAATGATGCTGAAGAGTCTGGATCAAATACCAACGACAGTGCGAATGCGGTAGACGAAGCGGTTGCGGCGGCCGACGATACTCAGACACCGGTCATTGCAGCCCATGTCGATGGTTTGGACGACTGTCCTTCATCAGACGCCGATCAAAGTAACCCAGGTTTACCTGTTGTGGTTCCTTCTGCTGTCAAATTGACTCCTGATGACGTGGTGGGGGAGACCACGAATGGCATCGAACAAGTTTTTTCTTCCGAAGAGGCCTCCAGTGCAGAGTCGGCTATCGTGGATGACCCGATAGATCAGCTATTGATGGTAGCCAGCGCGATTTCAACTGAGACGGACGGTCTCACCGCAACCGACAACAGCGTGAACCCTCCGAGAGCGGTGGAAATGGAGAAGGAATCCCCCTTGCAGCTTGCTATCAACACGGCGCCGGTGGATCCTGTTGCTGAAGCCGCACATTTGGAAGAAAACGAGCAACCTGCAACGTCCTCCGATGGCAAGCAAACTTCTCTTGATCAAGTGGCCACGAGTGCTGTCGCCGACAGTCGCGGAAACACGATATCCGTGATTGCTGCTGTCAACGTTCAAGCTGCTGATCCTGTGGGCAAAATTCCTCCAGCCAAGGAGGATACAGGTGCTAACGTTGGGCACTCCAATGATTTTCAACTGCAAATGAACGCCGCTGAAGCACCTCCTTTTGCAGCGGGTGGGGTGGCCATTCAAGGACTGAATGCATCATCATCCAAAATGGCCGAGTCGCAAGTGGACGTTGAGGAAATTCCATCTCCGACGAGTGATTCGCCCGAGCCTATTGTACGTGCTCCTCCTGCTGCTGCTGCCACGGCGCTTGAACTGACGTCCACCACTCAATTTGTCGTCGACGAGGCCACAACCATCTCCGAAGAAGGAAATGTGGGGGAGGTTCCTGTGTCTGCCCAAAGTGGAGATGCCGAGCCATCTTCAATCGCCGTCAACGACACGACGGATAATGCTGTAAAAGCAGTCGAGAAGGTGGACAGCAAAGACTCCTCGACGTTCACTTTCGAAGCGATCTCACAGCCACCGAAAGTGGAGACTGTGCCTGACGAAATCCCGTTGCCCACCGAAGTAAATCCCATGTCCTCTGATGCGAATATCCATGCGTCCGACGTTGCTGCAGTTGAGCAAGGCGTCGCCAAGGATGAGTCTCGTCTGCGAGATATTCCTCTGGTACCCCCCGAAGTAGTTTCCAAAGTTACAACTACTGCCGATGGCATTCTGATCGACGGGACTGTGTCTAAACCTGAAGATGCTTGTTTGCAAAAAGAAGTGATCGAAGGGGCAGCAGCGGCGGCAATCGAGGTTGCGTGTGACATGATCAGTTTTGCCGATGGCACCGCCGCCGGCAACGAGTCGACCCTTGTTCAAAACGCGGTAAACTTGGACGAAGTCACATCCACATCACCGCCAAATCACCTTGATGCAAGTTACTCAATGCCATCGCAAGCTGCAGGTTCCGTCGGAGGGGCTGTCGATGCTGGGGAATGCACTGAGCCCGTTGAAGACCTTGTGGTCTTTCACGATGGAGATTCTCCGGCCAAAGAATCGGTGGCCCACCCTGCTGCACAGTCCTCAATCCAACAAGACGAGGTTGCTACAACATTTGCAAAGCCTCCTGCAGATACATCGCCGATCCGAACGCTCGCTGCATTAGATGAAGAAGTGGTATCCGCATTGCTGGGGACAGTGGATGCCGCCCCTTCCCCCGCCCTCCAAGCAACAGAAGGTATCCATGCGCCCTCCTGCACCCCTGCATGCGATTTTCCCACAACATTAACTTAAGCTCGACTGTAATCACTCATTCATGTACTGCTCATCGTCTTTTGAGTCCGAAAAGGCTTGTCCTGTGGCGATGGCTGGAGCACTCTTGCACTTTCGCGCTGCGTGGTGGCATTCTTGAAACCGATTGTGAAACCTCTTGTAACCGCTAGTAGGGGAATCCAGCGATATGGACGCCGATGCGAACGTACTCCAAGAGAAGGAACGTGTGATAGTTTTGCTGAATGAGACTGCCAAGGCCTTTCAGCTCCAAGTCGCCTCGCTTCAGGATGAGCTCACCGTGACGAAGAATCTGCTCGCACAACGAGACATGGTCGTGCAAGATCTCCAGCAACATGTACAGGACCTTAAGAACGCGTACGCTGATCAAGTACGCTCGGGTGCACGCGCCGTCTAGTTGTACTCATGTCGACGCAGGCCAATACTGTCCAAGGACTGCAGAGCCAGTTGGCCGTTAAAACCGCAGCACTTGACGAGGTGGAGAGCCAACTCAAGACGGCCGATGCCGAGTTCGAAGCGCTGAAAGCGGCGTGGGAGCACCATCAAGCAGTAAGGGGACTGAGACGAGGATAAAGTTCTCATGCCAATGGCTAGGACCAAACCGATAGAGGCGAAGAATGCAAGAAACTAAACGCAGAGATGTCGCAACTCCATGCCCAAGTGGATCAACTCAACGTGATCAATCGACGATTCGACAAACAGCTGCGGGAGAAAGCGTCCGTTGTCATGGTCGATGCATGTCTGTCGGCGCGCGACTTCTCTGAGAACCAGCTCATTTCTCTACGAGATGACGCAATTGCGGCAAAGGCAAAGGAGTTGAGCCTCGTGACAGCGGCAAACGACGGGCTTCGAGCTCAACTGGATGCGTTGGAAACGGAGGTGCATCCCGCCGGCTCAATGGAGACCGACTCCCATTCTCTATGCGTGTAGTTAGAGCGTTTGGAAGCAGCGCTGACAAGTAAAGACGTAGAACTCCATCGAAACGCCAAGAGAATGGACAAGCTGGAGCGGCACGTGGCAACGTTGGAAGCTGCGGCCAAACAAACTCGAGGGAAGGAGCTTGCGATGGAGCTGAGTACCAAGCAGAACACGCAGTTGCTGCAGTGCTTGCAGGCAGAGGAAGCCAAGGTGCGCGGTAAAACGTCCATAACGATGAAGTGTGATCATTGACCAGAGCGACCTACTTCGACAACAAGTTGACGCTCTGTCGACCGACTTGGCTCACGTTCAACACCAAGCAACGCAGATTCGATCCGACGCCGCAGTGGTATCGACAAATGGACGAGGTCGGTACCTCCGTTTCATATGTAGTCGTCGTAGGTTGAGATCGATGTTCAGTTGAAAACAAAGACTCTGGAGAGGCAGTCCCACAATTTGATGACGTCGCTGGAAAAACTCCACAAGGAGCGCGAGATGCTGCGCGACGAATTGGCCGACATGCGATCAAAAGCAAGGATCGAGGTGGAAGCGATGCAAGGCGAGCTGGTGCACCGGCGAAACAAGCAATACGAGCTGACACTGAAGCTTCACGTACGTGTGCAACCACCCGCATTTGTCGGCCGAATACAAAAGGTCGAGGTAGGAAACCGAGTCACAGATGCATACCCTCCGCAGCACGAATGAAGTGCTGGGAGAAGAGCTCGAGGCAACTCGTTCGAGAATGCAAGAGCTGGATCGGCTGCACATGGAAGCCAAGCGGTGGAAGGAAGACATGGCTCGGACGTTCGAGTGTTTGCGCCAAGAACATGCCCAACTTCAGCGGACACTTGCCACCGACTCGAACCAATTCCAAGTGGAAAAGGCCGCGCTACAAGGGCAGCTCAAGGAGTTGGAGCGTTTTGTGCACGCGCAAGCGGCAGAGTTGAGTAAGTCCGTGGATGCCAAGAAAAGCGTGTATCAGGACATGCAAACGTTGGAAAAGCAAATTGAAGGGCTGCACGACCGCATTCACGGCTTGGTGGCCGAGGCAAATGCAGAGACGAAGCGACGCATGGGGCTTGAGATGGAGTTGAAGGTACGACAAGTGGCTCGGACAATCCAAGCTCAATCGAAAGTAGGTGGCCCAAGACCAACTGCACCAGGTCCAAGCGAATTCGCAAACGATGCTGGTGGGATGCTACGAGGAGCACAAGAAGCTGCACGATGGAAAAGAGAAGCTCAAGAAACGACTCGACCAGCTCGAGTTTGAATACAAGCGCGAACAACACGGTCCGTTCTCCCATGCGGCTCTGCTTAGCACTAAAGTCGTCAGAGTATGCAGGCAAATCCCAACTCTTGCACTTGTCGTACAACGCGGCGACCCCAAACCGAGGAAATCTGGTCGAGTGCTGGCTGTCCGACGTGGATTTGCCTGTACTGGTTCGATATGCTCAAGCACTTGCGGCACCTCTCGACACGTTGGACCTGCGCTCGAATCGCATCACCGATCAAGGAGTGAAACATTTGCTGCAGCTCGTGCAGTCCAAACGGGTCCCACCACACATGAAACTTCAAGAGAATTTTATTTCGCCGCAAGGCATCCGCCAACTCGCGAGTGGCATCGAAGCCATGGGGTACACGATTGTGATCCACGACGGACGAATTGAAGGCACAGACGCGAGCGGAACTTTGACGCTGGACGTGTCCAACAACAAAGACGCGTCGGTCTTGGTATACACCCCGTCGTTACCGAGTGGTTGCAAAGTCAAAAAACAAAAGCCCGCGAGTGTGTCAAAGCCAGGTATGCAAGTGGTTTGCATGACGACGTTTGATGGGAGATGGCAGATCCGCTCGAAGGGATCTACGGCGCAGATTTGGTTCAAACGATGTTGGAGAAACCCAAGAAAGACCCTCCGAGTGGAAAGAACCAAAGCCCTCGCCTGCGATCACCGCGGTCGCTACCGAAATTATGACGTCGCAGTGGTAGAATATCGATGCAGCAGTCGTGGGAGACTTGAAAGGACGACGTTCTCAACATTTTCTTGCTTTCAATTTTTCATGCCACCAAACATCACGCACGTCGAGTGGATCGAGCATACCTGTTGCCAACTGACCTCCCGTCGAATGATTCATTGAATCAATTTGCTACCGTTCCTGTAAACAAAAGCAGCCCAAGTGATGCGGAAGTCGACTGTTTTCGATCGAGTATATCGTAGCTGAAACGCAGGACGTATTGGAGCACTGTCGACGGGAGAAAGCACCCTAAACGATGAACTACGAATTGAAAATTTTGGTGTGGAGCGTCTCATCTCAGCAGATCCGCTTCACTACCAAGGAGCCCAAGTACCCCGAAATTGGCCACGGACATCGCCGATCGCCACCGCCTGCGCGAAGCGAGGCAAGCCGGTCAAATGGACCGTGTGCACGAAGTGGTAAATATTGACAACACAGCACGAGTGAGCATCAACCCGACGCATCGCATCTTGAACCCTTTCGCAAACGACGCCACCATGACCACGTTGCTCGTAGAGCGCAAAATCGGAAGCGAACCAAACGGGAACTGCACCACGTTTAGAAATATCGAGCCACTGCCGCTATAAAGTAGGATCTATGGTTTGCAACATAGAGAACCAGAGGTCGAGTACCTCGGTCAAGAATCGGGACGCCTGGCCACCATGAGCGCAGGAACCAGCGCCACTGTCGTGGGTCAAACCAACGCGATCCCAGGGAGTTCGATGTGTGACAAATTTTCCATCACGATTCGACCAGTCCCCGTCATGGTAGAGCATTGGCCGGCTGCCAACAATCCGATTGCCAAAGTCGTTTTGGAATACTGGCGGAGGACTACATGTAGCCACGACCGCCCCGTACAGTCCTGCAAACGTGTACACCATTTGGAACGAGACAAAGAGACTGAAGGCGCCATTCCATCGCGATAAACAAGTTCGTCTGGTTGACTTTGAGTTTTGTCGATCGAGTGCACGGGACTGTACAAAACCAGAGTGCAAAATCATATCGCATGGCATGAACACAGCACCGAGAGCTCCTCCCGCTGGCTTTGTGGCATCCTTTTGGGAGCTGCCTGTACAAACCTTTGCAACTGGAGGCATTGTCCAGGACGTTGAGATGTAACGAAGCGCACCACTTGGGTAGTAAAATATATCGGGGTTTTTGAGCCCCGATATATTTTACTAAAACTTTGTTGTTTTTTATTATATAATATTTTTTTAAGTTTAGCACCCTCAAGTTGTGGCGACGGCAAGGAACCATGACAGCTCATCAAGGGCTTCCCACCTGCCGGCGTAGCTGCGGTGGCATTGGGAATGGTTATCGTGCAGAAGATGCGATTTCCTCTTCCGCGGTTTGGAGACGTCAAGAATTTGCAGCGTTGTGGGGTTTTCGGGCGTCCCGACCTGACTCTGGAGTATAAACAACGTTGCGGCGGCGTCGAAATGAGAAACCCGTGGCTCCATATCTTGAACTCAGTCACGTCGTTGGCTACAACAACTGTACTGCTACCGTGTCTCCGAAAGCCATTCAAAAGCACAACCCGTCGTCCTGGGGCTCCGTCGACTGGAATCGCGCTGCAACAACTACGTCCCACCCAGCTGGAGGCAGTACTGGGTTTGAAGCAGTTCCGCCCCACCCCCATGGATCTCCTTGATACTATTCGACATGGATCGTTTCTTCATGGGCAGCGTGCACAGATCCACCGGCCGTAGCAACATGCATTACGATAACACTTGAATAATCTATTCGTGCACAGGAGTCGCGACGGCAAATTGAGCATGCTTCTCCTTCAAGTGCGCTTCGACAAGCGGAACGGACTCGAGGTCTTGGCCGCGGGTTTCATAGCCAAACACCAACAGGACGAGGGCAATGAAGATGAGGGGGACCCCGCCGGCCACCCACATGATGGTCTTGATGCCCCAGCCAGCGCCAAGCATGATCGGGATGATGTACGACCCTGCAATCGCGCCGACACGGGACACCCCACCGGGGTACGCGCAGCCCATGGCGCGGATGTTGGTCGGGTAGTTCTCTGGGGTGTACGCGTACAACGATCCCCACGCACCGAGCATGAACCACGACATGAGCGACCCCGTGATGAGCAAGTTGACTTGGTTGCCTTCCACGTAACCAAACGCCAAGGCCGCGCCAAACGACCCCATCAAGTAAAGGAAGAGGGTAATCTTGCGGCCGAGCAACTCGACGACGTACGCGGCCGAGAAGTACCCAGGCAATTGCCAAAACACAATGAAGAGCACTTCCCACGTGTTCGCGTTGATGTCGTAGTCGGCCGAGCGAAGAATCGGGAGCCAAATGAAGATGGAAAAGTACGAAAACGAAATGCCCGTCCACACAGTCCAGAGCACGAGCGTTCGAGAACACAGTTCGCCCTTGAACAACAAGCACACACGGTCCCACTGGGTCAAGTTGAGCCACAGCGACTGCTCCACCGTCAACGCAACTTCAGACTTGTCGTCACCCTTGTTGGTCGGGACCCCATGGGCGGATTCAATCTGGGCGACGACAGCCTCGGCTTCTTCCATACGCCCGACCGAGGCCAACCACTTGGGGGATTCCGACACGAAGAAGCGGATGAAGATGGCGTACAGCGCAGGGACCGATGAAATGTAAAAGACAACGCGCCAGCTCACAACCTTGATGAGCTCATACGACATGAGCACGGCAAGCATGCACCCCACGGCCCAGAACGACTCCAAGATGACAATGATGCGGCCGCGGACAGAGGTAGGGACCATTTCTTGAACCAACGCCGACGCGACAGGCAATTCACCGCCCAAACCAAGCCCGGCCAGGAAGCGAAAGACCAACAACGTTCCAAAGCCGTTCGAGACACCGCAAAGGAGGGTTCCGACCATGAAGACGAGCAGAGTGATCATAAACATCTTTTTGCGGCCGTACAGATCCGCCAACTGGCCAAACAGAAACGAACCGAAGAGAGACCCGACAAAGGCCGACGACCCAAGCAGGCCAGCTTCTTGGCTTGTCGGAGAGATGCCAAGGTCCGTGCCCCACCCACCAGGCACGAGGCCGAGGTAGATGAACACGAACGTGTCCATCGAATCCATGGCCCAGCCGACGCCAGTCTTGAGGAGGAGTCCCCAATAGTGAGGCGTGATGCTGAGGCACCCCGTCGTCGGGAGGGCATCGAGTCGGCGTGTGATTTCTTGGACGTTGGCGGCCATGGCAAGTCCTCTTGTGAGCGTCCCCGTCGATTCGGAAGTGTCGAACCGAGGACGACCACCAGAAGGTGTGAGTCATTCAAGTTTCGTCGGGCGTTACTGCTGGTCGGTTTATCTGGTGATGGGTGGAGGCGAACCCGATTGACTTGTCTTGACTATACC